TCTGTGGATCCACTCTAATTATTGTATGTTGTCCATTTTGTGAAATGATAGTTTAGTTATTTTTTGTCTTGGTAAAATAGAAATGAGGGAATAATTAAGGTTAAACTGTAAAATAAGGACAGTTTCTAGTTTCTGTGGCTCATTCTTTTCCCTAACCTGTTTTCAAAACAAAGCAGGAGTTAAATGTGTTCAAGATAATGCACAGCTGTTTAAATAGGTAATAAAGGGGATTAACATAAGGTTCAAATATCACAACAAATAAAGTTTAATGAGACAGATTTTGAAAATTAAATCAAATGAACAGATTACCTGTGTCATTATTTAAAAGCTAAATGCTAAAGTTTAATTTGTTAACCTAAATTCTTTAAGATTTAGATTAAACTTTAAGGGTAAATAAATCTATATGTGTGTAGCGTAAATAGCTTGTATAAAAATAAATTAGGCTGATTGAATTTGCTTTTAAATTATTTACAATTCTTTAAGAAGTAAATCTATCTTAAGCTGATCTGGAATAAATATGCAAATGTATTTAACATAATTATTGGTTAATAATTATACGGTGTTCAAATGACTCAATTGGAAATAATGATGATAATAACATTATTTAATAATTATAATAACGATAACATTAATCATAATAATTACAATGATAGAGGATATAAATAACAGGATTTTATTCTTAACCTACATTGAGATGAATGGTGGAGACTTTAAAATGATCTATTCTCAATGAATCCATAGCTCAGATATATCTGGAGGTTAAATTGACTGAAAATTTGTGGTTTTTCTTCAACAGAACATATTTTATTTGTTCTGATGAAAAAAAGGGTGGAAAGAAGATAAAACAAGAGAATAATGGCAAAGCTAAACTAATAAGGATCCATATAGATGCTGTTTATTTTTCCATCTGGAACAGTCCATGTGGAATTTGGGTTGATAATTGAAAGCAGAATAAATAAACATCCTAAATAAAATACTAAATTATGATTAAACCAGTAAAGTTAATAATATGGGAATAAAATGGCCTTATAAAGGAAAATTATCTATTAAGGTAATTCTTAGCAGCAGAGGACAGAAACGACTGCTAGACTGCTGGATGAAGTTTGAACACCTCAGCCTGACTGTCTGATGAGCGTTTGGGAAAACCAGCTTTGTTGATGTTTGTTGATGGTTCGGCTTCTTTCACCCCTGGTTCGGTGTTTCTTCACCTCATGAAACTCTTGTTTCTGGTTCTTTGATTTTGCTTCGCCTTGGAAACATCGTTCTTGAAATCGGATGGAAAGCCTATTTTCTTCTTCCACACACATCATGTCTGGTGGAAGCAACAGAAGGCTGTGCTGCAGCGTCTCCCCTTGTTTACATTGCTGCAGCCCACTGACACACACACTGTCCCCCTCCCTCCTCTGCTGAGGAGAAGTTTGTTTGGACTTCTGCAGGTGCAGAAGTGATAAGGGTACCGAACACTAAGGAAGTACATTTACTGGGTAAGTTTGAAATTATGGAATAATTCAATGATTTGTGACAAAGTTTAAAGTTCAAATTTTAATTTAAAGTTCTTTAAGCTTACATGAACTTATTTTGATCTACTATTGTTTGTGAAAGGGTAAGATAACATCTGATCTGTCTTTCCCTTAGCTCCTTTAATTCAGCATGTTAGTAACTTTGACTCCCAGTTTTCCTCCCCATGAGCTCATGACGGGTCGACCCTTTCCTGGACCACAGAACGGGCCAGACCACTGACCTCTGGCCAGACTGGGACTGACAGGTGACACATTAAAATGACCTACAAGACCTTTTTTCCCCTTAGTCATTGAAGGCTTTACAGAGGGACCAGGGTGCCTGGAGACCCTGATGGGGAACCATCTCAGCCATCCTTCAGCAGGAGGAGGTGTGGCTCAAAGCCATCAAAAGAAAGTGATCAGATCTCATCTGAGCTCATCTGGAAGGAACCAGGAAAAGCTTCAACAATCAGAATAAAGGGGCAGAATAATCCCCTCTGATTGGTTAATTAACACATCAGTAGTCCACCTGATGTGTTGAGGACCAGCTGCTCTGCAGACCACCCATTGAACCACGTACAAAATGTCGCCTGTATAAGGGACCAACATCAACAGAAAGATGAAGACGCCCACCTGAAGATGTCTGACATCAGTTTTGGCTTTTTGATTTTTAAATCATACAACATGAACGAGAAGGGAAATGTGTTGCATTTTAATCAAAGATTAACATTTTTAGTATCTAAGTGTTTGATTTTACTTTTCTTGATAATAAAAAGAAAGTCCAAGTGTTAGATGACCACCTGATGGCTGATGGTCAGTATTGACAGAGATTTCTGGATTAGAGAATGAACTCTGATGATCGGGTCATCTCAGCTACCATTGGGAAAGAGGAGTGCTGAGATTAAATCCTCCAACTTTTCAATGTGTGCTTTGACTGAGCCTGATTCTGAAGAGCTGAACTCGTCATCTGCGTGAAACATTTTTGTGTTATGATTTTAACATTTTGCATAGAGATTGATCTGCTTTTACTTTTACTGAAGCTCAGATTAATAATTTGACTTACAGTTTGTAGACATGAAGGGGTCTATTGTTTTGAGTGATTTGAACTTTTCTCTTTCCAGGGAAACAAAAAGGGCAATTGATAATGATAAGAACTAAATTTTACATTTTCAGCAAATAGATATTTTACCATAAAAGTATCATAATGGGGAAAAACAGTAAATATTTTTGCCAACTAAGATGTGATTCCAGGGCTCTATTTATTGGCAACATATTTTAGCTATCATAATCCTTTCCATAATTTTTCCATCTATTATAATCATTTAACATTGTCCACCGACTTAATGCAGTTGTGGATTTTTGATTCATTATTTTTAAATTATCATTATTTTTTCTTATTATTATTATTTTTAATATTTTTAATGTCTTAGATTTTAGCTTTCTTTACATATATTCAGCTTCTTAGTTTTAGCTTTCTTTACATATACTCACAATTTTAGTTTCTTGGTTTTTTATATTCATAAATTTTCCTTTTTTTTATGATATCGATTACACAAGGATAATATCCTTTTATAATCGAAAGGGTGGACTGTTGTGGGAAAATTTATATCTTTATCTCATCTATATATTAATATTCATATTTACTCACTATAAAAGTTTTCACTCAGTCTGTTTCTCTCTCAAGGCCACACCATTCCCTGCAGAATGTTGTTTGTAGACCAGACATCGCTTCTTCCCATAACAATCCAGATTCTTTCTCAAGGTTTATTCATAACATGTTACTGTTAACAAAGTGTGTTAAATTTGTTATGACTCTGACTGCTTTCGATTGTTGTAACTAGGGGGGGACGAACCCTGCCCAGATCAGAACAGAGCAGAATGCTGTGCCATGATGACTGTTCTCTCTTTGCAAAGATGATTAATAAATGTGCCGACTGAGTGAAATCCATCGATCTCCGTTTATCTAACTAGGATGAATAGTTGAATACTTCTTTCCCACGACAGAAGTCTAAAGCTTTAGAAATATATTCGTTTTTTTTATGTAAAATGTGATCATTTAAATCAGTGTTTTTCATCCCTGATCCCCAAGGCACACTGCCCTGCATGTTTAGATGTTTCCCAGCTTTCACACACCTGTTATCAATTGATAGCAGATTATCAGGCTTTGCTGAACTGCAATAATCTGAATCAGGTGTGTTGAAGCTCAGAAACATCCAAAACATTCAGAGCAGTGTGCCTTGAGGACCAGGGTTGAAAAACACTAATTTAAATAACGTAACTCAATGCTAGAACTGCTAATGCTGTCACTCGCTGTTCATTCCAAATGTTGTTCCAATGTGACTTTAGATGCTTAAATCAATTTGATGAAACAATTATTATTTGAATATATTTTATTGTTTATTTACATATTCATACTTTATACCCATGTGCAAAAAACACATATTTTATTATCTCTCAGCTTTACAAATAAGTTATTCCTGCTACAAGAAAGTCTGTCATATAGGTTTAGTTTTGTAAAGTTATCTGCAGCTGACTTTCATGATATATTTTATAGAAGTTGCTTCAAAGTTTACATTTCATGACTGATTTGATTAAATATTTCATGAAAAATAGAATATTTTAGGAATGAGTCTTTAATCGAGAAAGCTGCATTGATTACAGCTCAGTGATCAATATGTTGTCTTTTTTATGGTATTATTGATCTTTCAATTTGGGAAAAAATTTTGAATATTTTTACATTTTATTGAGACATTAAATAAGAGGCATTGGTCACGGTCTCAGGTTAGGTGGTTTGAATGCAACAGTCTACCAATCTGTCTGCAAACACTGTTTCATGGCTAGCTAAGACAGGCTGCTTGTATTTATTTAGTTTTAATAGAACACATTATTCCTCAGTTTGAGCATCAATCCTTATATAGCAGCGGCATATATGGGTGTAACATATAAGTTATATGTTACGCCCATATATGCCGCTGCTGGAGAACTGACACAAGTGATATTCTAATGTCTGTCTGCACTATAGAAAATTCACTCACCTCTGCATAATAAATGCTTAAAGTGGCTCCAACAGCAGATTAGACCAACCTATTTTTTTGTTTAAGTCATCTAATTCCAGTAATTTGAGGCCCTTTTGGATGGATCCATTATGTGTAGAGTGTTGGACTTTGATGCTCAGGCGCTAATTGTATTCTAAATATGTAAGAAATAAATGAGACTAGACTGACATCACAGGAAAAAGATTCCATCCTGATAGATCCATGCTTTACAAAAAGGGGAAAGTTATAAGGGACACTTCAGAGATATGATTAAACTGAATTTTCTATTTAAAGAATCTCATTTGTTTTGATAAATGATACATTTAGCAGGTTAAGTTTGTCTAACATGATGAATGAAACGGTTTTCAAGTAACAAACAGAAATCTTGGAGGTCATTTTCATTATTTTTAGTCTTCATTTAATGGATATCTTTTTATTAAAGTAAAGGAGACTTTATTTTCAAATTGTTCAACAAAAAAAACAGTCTGGGTGGTGTTCATGGTAGCAGTTGATAAGTATGAAAAAATCAGATTGATTGCTTCACCCTAATAATCTGAAACCACCAAAGCTAAATGAACACAGAGGAAAAAAAGGCTGCCAGTTAAACTCTTTCTGGTCTCAAAGAGGCCTTTGCGTGGGGAAGAGAAGAATCTCCTCTTCATCAGTGTGCTGGCTGCTGCCCTGTCAGGAGGAGGTAGTTGTGATGGAGGGTGCGTAGCTCCGTCAGTCTGCCCAGCAGGCGGCCGAAACGCTGCGGCCCTCCCCTGGCTGCTGCTCCAGCCTGGGCCCCGCAAACCCTGGAGAGCAGGTCCAGGATCAGCGCCTGCATTTTCTCCACACAGCTGACCGCCTGCAGGGATGCTCGATCTGCACAGGACCGCACAGATGATACATGTTCAAACCACTGCAGAACATACATCCCAAAAGTATTTACACCTCCTAAACTTCTTCTGTTAAAACAACAAAGTTCCACATAACTGACAGGATTTTAGACCGATGCAAAGTGGCAGATCATTTTCAAAAGGTGTGTGATGCATTTATTACATCTAAGTTCAAGTTTGTTAAAAAGCATATTAACACAAAAAAACATTTGCAGTGTTGGTCAAAGAGTTGCTCCTAAAGTAGCAGAGTAAGGAAAAGACAACTAAAATAAAATGGGACCATAATAAAAAATGAAATCTGCCACTGTGTGGAAGAAAATGTGCATCTTCCTGAATGTGCATTTGATTCAATTCAGTTTATTTTTTTATTTTAGCTCCAAATCACATCACATATAATCTCAAGGCACTTTACAGTTCAACCAGATCATACAGTTAAATTGATTCAAAGTTTTCTATCAAAGGAAAACCAGCTGATTGCATCGACTCATTGACTGGAAGGCAATCCCTCACACTAAGCATGCTTGTAGTGACAGTGGAGAGGAAAAACTCAATTTTAACGGGAAGAAACCTCCAGCAGAACCAGGCTCAGTGTGAGCGGCCATCTGCCGAGGCCGCCTGGGGTTCAAGGAGACAGAAGCAGAGATGCAAAAGGCAACTGTAAAAGGCGGTGCCAACCAGGAAACATGCATGATGGCAGTATAATGCTATGGGAATGCTTTCCATCAGCCGGGAAGCTTAAGGGATTAAAGTGAAGATGGAGTAAACTACATACGGAGTAGTCCAAGAAGGAAATCTGTTAAAGGCCACAAAAGACTTGAGTCTGATTCAGAAGTTCCCCCTCAAACAGGACTAATAAGCATAAAGAACGAGCTAGAGTCTATTAGAATCAAAACCTATTCATGTGTTAGAATGGCCCAGTCAAAATCCAGACCTAAAAAAGATAAGAATCTGTAAAAAAAAAAAAAAAAAAAAAAAAAATCTTACTTTCACTTCCGAAGGTAGTGTCCTTTCATTCTGATTGATCTGTTATGGTAATTAAAGGGCTCTAGATGAGCAAAGCTGATAGAAACCTCCACTTAAAGATTTGCTTTAAGTCCTTTTAGTTTGTACGGGAAACTAACTTTATTTAAAGAAAGCTATCTAAGACAATTAGATTCTTTGTTCTATAACTTGTTAAACAGTCCCTGGTTAAAATGTTTACCAATTGGAGATACCTGACCTGAGCAGAGCAGAGCTGTGGCAGTAAGCAGGGTGTATTCAGCCTCTGTCACACGCAGCACCGCCATGCTGTGAAGGAAGTTTAGCACTGAGCCCAGGAGATCCTCACTGCTTCCTGTCCACACCAGGAAACAGATCCTTAAAGCGGGCTCTTTATGTCCACAGTTTGCAGATTAAAGGGGATGTATGAGCTCACCTGAACCGACGGACGTCCTCATCTGGATGTTTTCCCTGGGCTCCAGATTTCTGAGCCAGCCATGCGAGGACGTGGTGAAAAGCTGCAACACTGATCATACAGTGATGGGCTGTTAGATTCAAACGGGTGTATTTTCTAAAACCGTGTTTATAGTTTTGTCTTTATTTTAGTTTTAGTTTTCTCCCTTTACCTGGAGTGGGGCTTGCAGGGTTATTGGAGAACTGCTGGGCAGAGAGCAGAAACATGACCTCCAGAGAGGAAACGGACAGGAGGGCCATCTGGTCGGAGAAATCCAGGAGATCAAAACCTGGGTGACAGAGCACAAGCATGCAGATTCTTAGACATTTAACTTTAATCTACAAAAATAGGAATGAAATGTGGACCTCTCATTGGGATTTAAAAAAAAGAACACTGCCTAAATGTGGAGGTGATTCCTTACCTGACTGTTTTCTACAAATAGCTTTTTTTCATCAGATCTTCCAAATGATTATTAAACTAAAACAACCAGATTAATGCCATTAATACCAAACACAGTTTATGCACCTGCAAACACCATGAGGCCACATTCTTTGGTGTTTTACAAACCCTTTAGATCAATGTCTTTTATAGCAGCAAAAAAAAAACATGGAAGAACCTCTGAATCAACCTACCCTTTAATTCAAGCACATTCACCATTCACCTTTATGTATTTTACTAACTGAGAATATTTATTTGTTTGTTTTTTTTGTTGTTGTTCTTTTAAATGAAAAAATGTAATAAAATTGTAAACAGCTCCATCTTGTGTTTTTTTTTTTTTTTTTTTTAGGGGTAATAAGAGAAGTTGCCATTCGTAGCATTAAACTGCAAAAGTTTAAACAGAAAGATGAAAAAAAGAAAATTAAATCTTTTTTTTTAATTAAGTGTATTTCGCTTTTTTTGGAGTTGGTAAATAGGATGATCCGTCAATGGAATTAATATTTCTGTCCTAGGTAACATAATCACAGAGAAATCCTAACCTGAAGTTAAATGAGTCTCACCAATCATCAGGACAGAGATTCAGAACAGTCATTTGATATTTACATAATTTGACCGGAAAGAGAGAATTCAACAGATTTATCCTTTAATAAAATACAAAACGGACAAATGGTAAATGTCAATGAGTAAAGATTTCCATCCACCTCACCTGGTACTGTTCTTGCAAACTGCAGCAGTCTGTTTAGGTGTGGGGATAAAACATCAGGCAGCCCCGCCCCCTCCAGAGCACACTGCCATTCAGAGACCTGCCAGCATGAGAACAACATGAGAACATCATAACAGGTGGTAAACCTAAAGTCTGGACACATACCTACCCTGTAACTGCTGCTGTCTTGCTCCCTAAACTGGCGATGAGCCTCAACCATCCTGTCTACAGTGTATTTCTGCTCCCGGGTCAAAATGGCGGGCTGATTCTGGGGCAGATAGAAAAGAACTTAGTTCATGGATTAAAAAGCACACCTCTATGAAACAATAAGGTGGACAAGGACTTTTTTTTTATATTTTTAGTCTCCTCTAAAATAGTGCGGGTGGAGAATTTTAACTTTAACACCATTCATTTATATTCATTAAATCATCTTAGTTGCTAGGACATTTACTAAGGAAGAAAAAAAATAAGTTTTTTATTAAATAGTGACCCCTCTGGGAGTAGATGACACAGCTGACAAGTTACGCATAATGGAGGTCCGCAAGTCCAGCATCCGAAAGTCTGTACAGGTGGCGTACGACCGCGCCATGATCCACCAGAGCCGAGTCAGCCACAGCCACTGCTTTGCGACCTCTAACTACCTGTAGAGATCAGAGTCCCGGACTGAACCACTGCTGTCAGACACACAGAACCGTTCTGCTCCGGCTTCTCTGTGTCATTAGAGATAATGGAAAGGAAGAGATTGTAAGCCCCGCATTGCTGCACCTCCACCTGGATCTCATGAATCTGTTTGATCAAAAGTAACTGAGCGTGAGCTTAATGAAACCTGCTGCCAAGGGATCAAATGGACAGAGACGAGATTTGACCTTTAAATGAACTGCAGGAGACAGATGGATGCATCACTGCCTTCTTTTATACAACAGCTTTTCTATGTTTTAAACTTTTTACTAAAGTCTCTTGTATATTTTACTGGCAGCGTCTTTTTGTACATATGTCTGCGTCTAATTTAATGTTTTAAATGCGTATTACAATCAGCTCCTAAAGGGCAAAGCAAAGGCTCTGTGTGACGATGAAATGATAAATGGAGCGTACGGTAGGTTAAGAGTTTGCATTGTGTATTCTCGGCATGATGAGCCGATTTATATTTGAAATCTCTTTTTGATACAGAGAAATAATTTATTTATGGAAAACAAACTATAGAAATAAAGTTATATTGGTTTGAGTTTTTATTTAAGATAAAGAGATGAGAGTCAGCATTGAAACGGATGACTTGATGTTTTTGTTTTTTGTTTTTTTTCTGTTCTTTCAAACTCATCACCAAACAGCAGCTTTTTCCGTTGACCCTCATTGATTTTATTTATTTCCCAAAGCCCTATTTCACCCATTAAACAGTACACCCTGATAAGCTTTTTGCTGAGGTTATATTTTACCAGGTTACCTTTCTTTTTTTTTTTTTTTACCAGTTGTTAATAACCATATTTTGAAAACATCCTATTAAAGAACTGTTGATGTATGTATCTGGAGTTCTTTGGGTTTCCTTGTAATCCTAATCCATCAATCCCTATTCTATACATGCATTGCATTTCAGTGACGCTGTAAAAAAAGGACCTAGCTTTGTAAAGAAAAAAAACATCTTGCTTATTTAAAATTTTTAATTATAGCATCAGGATTCTGCTAATAGTCCAAATGTGCAATAAATACTCCTACAAGCAGCTTTACCTAAAACAGGCATAACAAGCATTTTTGAACATGCTACGTTACATGCTTAAATACCACGGGGCCCCATATATCTCACACGAGTGCTTGTTCCTTCTAAACACACTTGTTCAATTCAATTCAGTTTATTTATATAGCGCCAATTCACAACATGTCATCTCAAGTTACTTTCCAGTTCACCGGATCATCCAATCAAATTGATTCAAAGTTTTCTGTCTAAGGAAAACCAGCTGATTGCATCGACTCACTGACTCGAATGCAATCCCTCAGACCAAGCATGCTTGTAGCGACAGTGGAGAGGAAAAACAGAGATAGCCTGAAGAGCAAAAACACTGCTCAGTAGTCAAAACAGGAAGTGAATGTGATGCGTCTCACCAATAGCAGCAGTAGCACCCTCTAGTGTTAGAACATCTCCACATCAAACTTGGCGGTCTGATATCCTCGTGCACAGCCTCCCTTTCTCACGTGGATCTGTTTTTTGTGCTCGTGTGAACTATTGTCTCTTTGAAGGCGTTACCCAACGGACAAAGCAACTCGGCTGTGAATGACTACTTTTCAGGAAATCCCGCCTTTTGAGGCTGTTCTCTTCTTCCTACTAGCAAAACAACTTCAAGAGTTTGAAGTTGGTAAGCATAGTTGTCATTACATACATGCTGTGTTGGATGAAGTATTCCACATGTTGTACTTGAGTAAAAGTATTGATACTCAGTCAAATCTTACCCATTCATCTGATCTGTATGCCATTAATACTCGACTAAAGTTATTATTCTGATTCTTGCTACGTAGCAGCAGCAGGAAAAACAACCATGGAGGACGATAATGCGGAGAGCATTCTTTATTTTCAACCATCTTGAAAAGATTGTGTTGTTAATGAGGCTGAGGCTGGGAAAGAAATTAAAGATTGCAAATGCGCTCCAGCCAAGGGCGTAGCTTTGATTTGAACTTTGGTAGGGACCCAATTGGTCTGGTGTCATTGGTGCTGCAATATGCGTGCCCTTTTTTATGCTCGATGTGAGCATCCGTACTGATAAGAGGAATTCATTGTTAAAAGAGAAAAGCAACATTTTGCTCCACTAATAAAAATGTTATAAGCTCTACACTCATTAGATGCTGTTTATCAATGTTTGAAGTATCACCGGCTCTGATCAATGTGGAATTAGGACTGTTTTCCACTTTGAAAACGGTTTGATTTGAACGACTAAGAGAGAAGGTAAATACAGTATTTTCTTCTGAAGATATAGAATTGTGCAGAGTTAAACCCCACTCTTATATTTGTACCTACTATTCTCTCTCTGTATCAAGCAAAATAATACAATCATTAAAATATTAACTTCAGTATAAAAGTTGAACATCTGGGCTGTAGTTACTCTGTGTCGCCCATTTCATGTATTTCATCTGGGGCTGAACTACATTAATCATATTAATTGATTATTTCAATAATCGTCAACTAATTTAGTGAGTGATTCATCATTAACTGGAGAATAGAGACTCTAAAACATACAGTAATATAAATGTAAAATGTGCCTTTCCCCACAGAGCAACCCACTTAGATCAGTTATTATATCAAAATTGTAAAAATATAAACAAAAAAATGAAAACAGTAATAGCAACTAAATATCGGTAAAAAGGAAACCCTCACATTTTCTGTTTTAGGTGGCTGTGGCTAAGAATCAGAAATGTTGATGGCTTACAGCCTTTATTTGCCCATTTTTCCAGCAGTCTTCAGAACTCCTGGCTGACTCAGAATATTTCGTTTTATAAAAGAAAAAAAAGGTTTTTGTTCTTTAGTGAACATGATATTATTTTTTTTTTATCGGGACTAGTTTTGTAGCCTAATATTAATTGTAGTAACCGCTGCATTCTAGTGTGAATAGATTTTCAATG